GTATACGGATTTGTAAAAATGTATATATTTTTCACTCTAAAATTAGTTCTGTAAAGGATAAGGTTGAAGGTGCTTACAATTTAAGCGAAAAACACCCTAAATAAAATAAAAATAAGGTTAAATCAGTTGGAGCTAAAGGCTTTATTGATGTGTTCACTTCTTTTCTTCTCATTATTATTCATGTTTCGATATTAATATATGAATTCCACTAAAAAAGTACAACGAGTTTCGTAAAAAGTGATCATGTATTAATTACGGCATACATAAAAAAATTATAAAAAAAGTTTTATGGCAGAAATGGAAATTGTTGATAGTGAAAAAATTGGCTCAAAAGTGTGTGAACAGGAAGGTATAGTAGAAAAATTGAAAGAAAAAGACGTTCTAATAAAAGATAATCATAACAAAAGATTTATAAAGAATAATTTGGAACTCTTTTTCCTTTTTAAATTTGCAACTCAGCAATAATCGAAAACTATTATTGCTACTATTAATTGAAAACGGCTGTATTATTGAAAGATTACGTTGTTAATTTTTTAGATAATAAAGTCTATTTACATTGTAGTATTGTTGATCACTGAGCTCTGGATGAATTGAAGAAATGTTATCGTTATGTGTCTTGTTGACTCCCATGTTTCCAAGTTAATATTAATCGCTAATGGACCTTAAGAAAAAAAATCAATTGAGCATATGTAAATTTTCTTCCGTTTTGTATAATCCACTGTTAAAAAAACTCGAGTTAAATAATAAAATTCTTCCATCCGAGTGAATTAGTAAACTTTGAAACTATGTAATTATTTCAATTCCTACTTCAAATTAATAAGTTATTTATGCGATTGGTAGGGAATCGAATATAGCCTTTACTTCGTCTAGATGCTGTAAGCCAATATATTGTTAAATTTTGTCTGTTTATGCCGATCATGTAGTAGTTTTCATTTTTCGACCAATACCTCTGTGAAAGCCAGCCGGGATGAGCTGAGTGGAGTCCTTCTCGTGAAAATTGTCATTTTCGCTCTCTCGACGTGCAAAGCAATTACACAAGAACATCAACATCCGTCGGAGTCAGGCAGAATTTCGCTGTAGGTCTCAGGAGATGCCAGTGCCCTCAATTCTATCCCGTTGGGACCTTTGGTCCACTGGCAAATATATTCAGCCGGTATAAGCTTACAGCCATACTTACCACAAAAGACAATTAACGCTAATCGAAGCATACTGAAATACAAAAATACCTCGAGACGACGGATCATGGACACAAACACAAAGAAAAAGTATCTGTATACTGATAGTACATGTACAATACGTTCAATCCACAGCAAATATCATCTGCCAAATTTGGGTGGTATTTAGTGACCGTTAATTAATAAATAAAAACAAATCTAAATAATAATCTAAATAATCTGTCAAATTTTTAAACGTTCCCTTGTTTTTCTTACCTAACTGTATAACTACGTCCAACGAACCACACACTTCCCAATTCCTTCCACTATGGAAATGTGGATCAATTATTATGATCCCAAAACCCAGCAAACCATTGCATAACGACCTATCGTATATAAGTCGCCTTCCCTTGATTGGAAAGAACCATGAAAAACTCCTCATACAACGTCTTTAGTCAATATACAATTTTCTTAATTTAATTCTTGATCATCAGTTTGGTGTCAGACATCAGCACTACAGTCCCACCCCGTTGTAGGTGTTATCTTCTTCTTCTTCTTTTTCTTCGTCTTTGAGAGAGAGAGAGAGAGAGAGAGAGAGAGAGAGAGAGAGAGAGAAACAGACGGACAGGTAGACAGTATTGCCCGGCTGTCTTTATCGAGGTTGCGCAAGCATTCGATTGGTCTGACACGCTGGGATGTTATGCCACTCAAAGGCATTCTCCCCACTATCTGACCTTATTGTAAAGTCCTATGTGCCAACCTTTACTCCTGGGTAACATACGGTCCTTCCCATTCACCCGTCCATCCTATCCGTAAGAAATCCCCCCAAGGTACTGATCTTGGTCCAATCATTTTCTTAGTATATACTGACGACAACTTTAATCACTCCAATAAGTCCTTATTCACGTTTGCAGATGACACTGCAATCACGTCCACTCACAATGATCTAATCCTTGCCGCTCGTTCCCTACAATCTCATCGTACCATCCTTGTGCCTTCGATAAAGAAGTAGGGGATAAAAATAAATGAAAATAAATGCCTGTACTTTAAATTCACATTACGATAAACAGTCCTTCCTCCTCTATACCTCAACCGTTTTCCTTACTTATGACAAACTTTATCTTGTCAATCACCAACAAACATCTCATGTGAAATCCTTATACTAGACTAAACGATACAAACGTCTCTCTCTATTCTTAGACAGACGATCTAAATGATCTCTTAACAGTAAACGGCTAATCTACAACACACTACGCCAACCGGCATGGGCTTACGGTATGGAATGTGGGGCTCAGCCAAAGCATCAAACTCCTGTCAGTCCCTCCAGTCCAAAACCCTTAGTTGCATTGCAAATGTTCCATTCCATGTGTCTAATCGCACTTTTCACCATGACCTCAACATCCTTAATGTTTCCCACGGTATGAAATCAAGGTATTTCGTTCCCGAGAACTCATCGTCAACAAGACAAGAGGATCTTTAGCGTCCGCACCTGGCCTATTCGGCCTTATCAGACGTTTTGATTCTCAAGATGAGAGCTGACGCACCTCCGCTCGCAGCATTGGTGTAGAGGCGCCCCAGCCCCTAAGGGCCGAGACTACCTCGCACTCCGCTTGTTCACTCCGAATGGTCGGGCCCGCATTGAGCATCGGGTCGTATGCCGCACGCAAAGGGCTAACAGGCCGAAATACATCAGCCTGTTCTCCCGCGTACTCCCTAGATAGAGAAGGCCACTCTATCTCCCTGAGTATAGAAGCTCCCCTAGCGTAGAAACTTCCGGGAACGCCCCGGCAACGGTTTAGTTTAAAGTGGAATTGCTAACCACACCCTAGATGAGCACCGCCTACAGTAAAGTCTCTTATCGAGTTCAGCCTACACCTGCCATGCGCATTCGAGGGACGCCATAGGCTCGCCTACGTGGTCGGATCCTTCGCTTCCCCAAGGGTACTACGCCGGTCATACGCACAACAATGCAAAGCATACTCGAGTCAGAGATACCGATTCACTAATCGTTTCCGTTCGAATACTCACGCATTCGAGGGACTATTCAGCATGATCATCGCGTCCTCAACGCTTACACGCTGTCGTCCGGTCACAAAGTCTCTCGTGAGGCCGGGGGTAATTACGCTGGCCATACGCAAGCTTCACGAAGGTCACAGATAGAAGATAGCCTCTGTCTAAGTTCCCGCCAGGGGCGTCACCACGCGTCACCCCGAAACCTTTCCCAATGTAACTTTGGGCTGATTTTGAAACATTCAAGTTTCCCCGTGGTACAGACGGCCATACACCCTCCCCCGTCTTTGCAGACAGGATCTAGTGCACTGGCCCTCGTGTGACTCTGCTAAGGCACCCGCCGCCCATGCCGACCCTAGGCCGACATGAGTACAGCTTGTGCTTCAGAGAGGTTGCCACGCCCTCTGGGCTGCACCTTTATTTTGTGCCCGGATACCCCCCTTGCAACCAAGAGTTGGGAGGGATCACAAGATAGAATGAACGAATTCGGATTGAGAATAAGAGCCGTGGATGAGAACACGACGTGAGCCGTTTCGGGGTCTCGAGTCTCAAACCACACTATACCACCCGTCGTCGCCATAGTTCTACACATAGTGAGTAGTATGTAGGACACTTGGGGCAGACAAACATTACCCCCTCCACTTTCCCGGTTCAAGGTGTTTGATGAGCTGGACTTTGACCCTTTAATCTTCCTTTCCCCCCCTTTAATCTTCCTTGCCCCAGTGATTTTTCAAATTCGCTAAGGGGGTTTGACGAGGGTTATTTTCACCCTTATTTTTTACATTGTGACGTCACTTTTTTATAAACGCCTTGCGGTTTGACGAGGGTTATTTTCACCCTTATTTTTTACATTGTGACGTCACCACGCCTGTAACCTTCCTGCCCGCCAATCTTCCTTGGAGTTGCCCCCCCCACGCCGATAGTCGTCGGGTCTGATGGTGCCTACTTTTAAAATTCGCTAAGGTGGTTTGACGAGGGTTATTTTCACCCTTATTTTTTACATTGTGACGTCACTTTTTTAAAAACACCATGCGGTTGGAGGAGGTAATGTTTGTATGGCCCATCAGACCCGACGACCATCGGCGGGGGGGGGCAAGGAAGATTAAAGGGTCAAAGTCCAGCTCATCAAACACCATGAACCGGGAAAGTGGAGGGGGTAATGTTTGTCTGCCCCAAGTGTCCTACATACTACTATAGTGGGCCACGACTCCTAGGGTGGGTGAAAAATCAAGGTTTCACAAATTCCACTCTTCACTCACTGGTCATCCCAATTCCTTAGTAACCCAACTTCCTCAGCATACTTCCTCATAGTCCACAACGCCGATGAATTCGAGATCTTATCTTGAGTTATAGAGAGTGCCAATTTTATGCTTAGGTTTACTTATATCGTAGTCTCACTACTGAGTGACTACTCCGCTCAAGAAAATACAAGTCAGTTATATTTATCTATCACATTGTATTTGTTTGTTGTAGTTAATTGTATAGTTACTAAAATGAGAAAAAAATATTTTGAGAGATTTAATCTCTTCAGGACCTAAAAAAAATATATTTTCTCTGTTGAAAAATTATTGTTAGTTATCCGAGTTTTATTTGCATTTCGACTTTTTCATTCATTTAGTCATGAAGTGTTTGTTTTGTAGCGTTTAATTATTTTTATTATTTTTTGTTGTTTCCTTAATTTATTTTTTGTCAATGGTACCGTTGGCTGTCTTTTCTGTTAATGAAAATTTCATTTGTTTGAACAATCACTGTAGAAACCTGACGGTCGTTCGAAGTTAAGTATTTTTGTTCTCGAATCTGCGATAAGGACGGGGTAAAAGGGCTGACACCCTGTATAGCGCATGATCTCTTTGGGGCCGGCATGGGGTGCCGAGTCGCCGACGACGAGGAGCTTCAGTCGTTTCACACCCCTTGGGTAGGTCGTTCCCGCGAGGGTTCTACGAACAAGGGAGAAAAGATCGCGGCTCTCAGTGTTACGTGCACCAAGGGCAAGTTGTACATAATTCCTCAAGACCTAGGATTCAACACGCCTGGTAAGACGACCGGGGAGAAAGAAACACACCTGGTTTATTAAATTTTAAAAAAGAAAAATAATATGATCTAAAATAAAAGTTATTTCATCAAAACATAAAATGTCCTCCTAAAAGAGTAACGAAATATTTAAAGTTAAATAAATACAATTGAATGTAGGCACAATATACAGCAAATATTAACAAAATTATATAAAACACAAAAGATCATTGTATGAACGGAACAAATATATTTCAAAAAATGTCATAAAATAGAAAATATGCATCTCAACAAACATCAATTAAATTTTAACGATTCAAAAAGGAATTTGAAATAGAAATTTTGTTCATATACATATTTTAGGATTGGCACTAAAATTAATTTGAAACCCTGGTAAAAAAATTAACAAAATATCACCCATAAGTTTTAATATGAAAAATATGCTGATTCTAACCTATCGTTTATTGCGTTTGGCAATTTAAACTATAAGTTTTTTTAATTGTTTGAAAATGTAAAAAACGGAATACAACGATATTTCCAAATAAATTTTATTTGATGTAAATGAAGTTTTAAAATTCTATCAACAGTTGAATTTAATTTTTCAATTATAAGCCTTTACAGCTGATAAAATACCGGTAATTAATCATGGAATTGAAATTAAATATTTACAGTTGATAATTTCATACACTAGTAAAGTTTGGCTGATCTTTTTTTTAACTAAAAATTTAAACCCTTTTATGGTTAGGGATGGGGCGTTGGTGGCCACGACGGTTTAGGCGTTGACAACTTTTTTTAAAAACACACCGGCACCCCGAGGGTGCATATAACCTAGTAGTTAAAAAAATATTGTTTTGGCATGATATTGGGAAGGCAGGGTTAAAATAAAATAAATAGTCATATTGATAATGCTGGACGAAGTTTGATAACAGTACCTTTTCGCCTAGTTGACATTAAACATGTGTTTCATACTAATTACCTAGAATTGTGGAAGGTCGAGTTTAGAGAATTAACATAAACGGTTGTTACGAGTTTCCAACCCATGAATTAATAAATTTAAAAAAAAATAAAATTATAGCGTTTACTGATCGAAATGGCTTTTTAAAAAGTAAACAGTCCAAGTAAATCGATGCATGTCGGCAGTAGCTGTGTACATTGACCGTTGTGATGTTTGGCTTTACGATAAGCGGATGGATGACCTTTTGTCAACTGTTGATTTTATGTTTATTTCTGTGTCATCTTGTTTTCTCTGTTTGCTCGAAGTTGAACGGCATTTATGCTTTGTAACACTCTCGAAGAATTCGTGGAATTCGACGCTTTCGCTGTGCGATTGTCGGAATAATCGAGCATTCATTTTTACAACTTTCAATCATTTTAAAACTTATAAATTTTGGGGCAGGACGCTCTAATACGTCTCTAATACAAAGTGAAAAACGATGATTAAATCAATAGTAGGTAAATTTTAGTTATGGAACTAGTTAGTCTATACTCTTTACAAAAAATAATATACCTAATTTATAAAAGAGCAACTATTTTGGCGAATTTAAGTGAAACAAAAGCAACTTCATTATATTCCATATGTACTCTTTGGTAATAAATTATACTTATTTTCTTTTATTGACATAGTATTTTCTAGCATCATAAATTACTAAAATAATTATACTGAAAATATCTAATTATAACTTAATAACTTTAAAAACCATAAGACATTTAAAAATCCATACGGATGTTTACAAAATAAAAATACCAATACATTGACCATTCTAAGCTTAAAAATAAAGAACTATTTGGTTTATAATCGACAAAATTACACACATTCGCTGGTACACTTTATAAATTTAAAATGAATGTGAATTTCATAAAAGTCAGTACAATACTAAGTACTTCATTTGTTGGTATCTCAGATTGTACTATCAGCGTACTACCTGTTATTTGTAGTCCCATTCTAAGAAATTAAAATTAAAGATATGAACATTTACATTTTTTTTGACAATTTGTTTAATCAATTATTGTAAAACTGGTGCAGTTTACATATTTCAATAAAATAGAAAATACTTCTTGTAATCCATCCAGAGAAAAAAAAAAGAGAGAGAGAGAGAGAGAGAGAGAGAGAGAGAGAGAAAGTGTGTGTGTGTTTGTTTTTGCTTGTGAGAGAGAGAAAGAGAGAGTGGGAGAGATAGAGAGAGAGAGAGAATGTGTGTGTGTGTGTTTGTTTTTGTTTGTGAGAGAGATAGAAAGAGAAAGGGAGAGAGCGAGAGAGAGAAGAGAGAGAGAGAGAGAGAGAGAGAGATTAGAGAGAGAGTGAGGCAGAGCGAGAGAGAGAAGAGAGAGAGAGAGAGAGAGAGAAAACAGAGAGAGAGAGAGAGAGTGAGGCAGAGCGAGAGAGAGAAGACAGAGTCAGGTAGAGTGAGAGAGAGAGAGAGAGAGAGAGAGAGAGAGAGAGAGAGAGAGAGAGAGAGGGAATGTGAGAGTAATTGAAATAGATATAGAGAATGTGAGATTGAGAAAGATAGATAAATAGAGAGAGAGAGTGAAAGTGAGAGGAGCGCGAGAGAAAAGACAACAAGAGAGAGAGAAGAGAGTGAGGTAGAGCGTCAGAGCGAGAGAGAGAGAGAGAGATTGTGAGAATAAGTGAGATGGAGAGAGAGAGATAGAGAGAGAGAGAGAGAGAGAGAGGGAGAGAGAGAGAGTGAGAGAGAGATTAGAGAGAGTAGAGAGTAGAGGGAGAAAAGAGAGAGAGAAGTGAGAGTCAGATAGAGTGAGCGAGAGAAGAGAGAGAGAGAGAGTGAGAGAGAGCGAGAGGAGAGAGAGAGGAGAGAGAGAGGAGAAAGAGAGGAGAGAGAGAAAGAGAGAGAGATAGGATCAGTGATAGTCGGAAAGAGAATAGTATTACTGAACGGCGCACTTAGCATGCTAAAGTTTTGTGAGCCCTGCCAGTCATCACGGTTTAGCCTAATGGTTGAGCAGTGCGTTTATTCTTAGTTTGTGGTAAAAAATTAAATAAAGATTGACCGTACATCTTGGGCAGGATTTTATTCAGTATGAACTGCATCTACACTACAGTTTAATTGTATTTTAAATTAAATATATATAAGAAATTACATATAATAAATAAATATATATAAACAATTAATATATATAATGCTATATAATTATTATCCGATATCCATTATTGCTTATTAATAATATCAATCAATATATTGTTATATTGGGAGCAACTTGTGGTAAGATCCCTTGTATTGATTTCTTTTATTATTTTTAGACATTATTTTTTTAGACTTAAAAGATTCCTTGTCAGTTTTTGTAAAATGTGTAGGTTATAAAATCTAGTTAAAAGTAAAATAATTAATTTTTTTTGGTTGTAAGTTATGATCATTATGATAAGACTGAACTGTTTGTTTGGCTGAAATAACGTTGTCAGGAAAACTGATAATCCTATTGAGTTCTGAAGCTGCTTGATCGTTAATCATGCACCCGATATGCGAGCTGGACGTGTGTCGTGGTAATGTAGTGATGAGAATGTAGCACCGATTGCGATCGAGTGTCGGTTGGGGATGCCTTCATCCGTGTCCCGATAATTCACATTTACTAATGATGTCCTGCTGCCGAAACTCATGCTCAACGGCTTCAACATAGCCGTCCACCAGTTATAGACTCCGACAACCGTTTCTCACCGGAGCCGTGACTTGATGGAGAGAGCCGTCAGCCGGTCAATGTTTTAAAGTCGTTTAAGGACTGGATTTTAAACTACTGTGTTAAAAAGCGACCGCATTACGGTTTTCTTAAAAAGCTTTGAGAGGAAAAAAACGAACTCTCTCCCAAAACAAATAAACATCTAAAAGCTCGTTTATTCCAAAATAGAGAAGCCAAATGGGAAAAAAGATTTACCCGGCTTCGCCCACGAGCTTTCTAGAATGAACCATCTAAATTTTCCCGTTAAAATTTAATCGCATGTACAGTCCGTGTTACTTGAATTTATAGCGTTTTCATTCATTGGTTTCGTCTTCTTCAGTTTGCGCTTACAGACCCACTTGATCCTCTAAATTTTCGTCATTAACAAGTGTTGATTCGACAAATTGTCTTTAGATTGAAACATCATGCGAATTTAATGCATTTTAACATGTTTTCAGCGGTATTTGACTGTGTTGATATATTATCTATTCACCGAGTGCTATTAGCTAAATAAGTTAACCCAGAGTTGAATTAATGCATCGGGAAACAATCCGAACTTATCCAAACTGCCAGGCGGACTTTTAGTTTTGCTCGAGCTTCTGTCAAGTCTCGTTACAAATTCATGGAAATGCTTTTTTTCCATTTAATACGCAGAGGTGAGCCAGAGGAGAAATTGTTTTTCGTTTGAAATCTCGTTAAATAAACAAATCTATTCCTACCACTGGGAAAATTCAAACGCCTAGAATGGACGAATCGAAATTTCTTTTTACTTTTTACTTTCTTTTTTTACAATTTAATTTTTATTTTCTCTTCAGAACACTAAACTAGAAAAGTTTCTATTACGAACTTTAAACATAAATATGAAAATTTAAAACTATCTAACATAAATCAAATAAACTTTGAGAAATTGATGAGGAAACTTTTGTTTTATACCCTCATCTACCCTCGACCGTTCACAATTTTGTAATATCAGATTAAAACTGAATTTTTTTTTATTTATTTCATATTAAAACAGTAAATTCTATTGATTTCCTTTATCAAGCATGCATGAGATATTTAGTGGCTTTAAAACTACAACTACATAATATGATATTCACCTATGAATTTATTATTTAAAAAGTATCAGGGGTCCTTTTAAGGAATGATTATTCCGTCTTATAAAGTTTGATATTGCCCCTTGTAGCTGGTGATCTGCCTCAAAATCAAAGGACTCTTATTTGGGAAATAAATCACTAGCACATATGCAGAGGGACACCTCTATATTGCTTCTTTAAAAGTAAAAATGTATTTCCTTAAGAAATCAAGATAAGTTATACATATATATAAAAATAAAAAATAAAACATGAACTTTTGC